TAGATTTTATCGGTCCATTTCCTCCATCATTTGGTTTTGTGTACATAGTAGTCGCAGTAGACTATGTTTTAAAATGGATAGAAGCAATTCCAAGTTGTAACAACGATCATAAAACAGTCATTAAGTTTTTAAAAGAAAACATTTTGAGTCGATTTAGAATCCCTTGGGCCATGATAAGTGATGGTGGAACACATTTCTGTAACAAGTCATTTGAGTCTTTAATGAAGAAATATGGAATCACACACAAAGTTGCCACCCCTTATCACCCCTAGACAAATGGACAAGTAGAACTTGCTAATAGGGAGATCAAACAAATCTTGGAAAAAACAGTGAACCCTAATCGAAAGGACTGGTCTTTAAGACTTAATGATGCACTTTGGGCCTATCGAACTGCTTTTAAAACATCATTAGGTATGTAACCTTATAGGTTGGTTTATGGAAAACCTTGTCATTTGCCTGTGGAACTTGAATACAAAGCTTATTGGGCTATTAAAGTTTTCAATTCAAACCTGGATGATGCTAGCCAGCTGCGTAAGTTACAAATAAATGAGCTTGAAGAAATAAGAAAGGATGTATATGAGAATTCAAAAATTCATAAAGCAAGAATCAAAGACTTTCATGATAAAAGAATCTTGAGAAAAACATTTGATGTTGGTCAAAAAGTTTTGCTTTATAATTCTCGACTCCATTTATTTCCTGGAAAGCTAAGATCAAGATGGAGCGGTCCATTTGTTGTGAAACATGTATATCCTTATGGGGCCTTTGATATTGAGAATCCAAAGAATGGTAATGTTTTCAAGGTCAATGGACATCGTTTGAAAGCTTACTTTGATAATTTTTCTAGTGAAAATGAATCCATTGGTTTGAATGATCCTGTATATGAAGGTTGATTATTTTGTTTTTCTCATATTTTTTTGTGTTTCTTTTTGGTGTGACTTTTGTTTTGCTAGTCTTTCTCCAACCCCGGTCAAATGGCGGATAACGGTACTCCGTGACTCTTAAGTCGGTTCTTTCAATTTCCCATGATAATTGATATCTTTGTATATATTTGTTCAATTCCTTGTTCCTTCTCTTTTCTTTACATCTCTTCTTCACTTCTCTTTAAAAACAAAACAAAACAAAAATAGACACCACTATTGAAAAATTGAAAAAGTATTTTCCTGCTCTGCCTCAGAATGAGATTACAAAAATTTACCATGCTAGGTGTGAAAGATTGAGGTTGTTAATGAACCATGAAATTCCTGAAGATATTCACTGGATAATTGAAGCAAAGATCCGATTATTAGGTGAGTCTTCCAACTCTTTTATTTCATACATGCCTGGGACAGGTAAAAGCACTTGCTGGTGCATTCCAAACTCGAACACCGTTCAGTAATTTGATCATATCTGGAGCTGTAGATATCAGATTTAGGTCCATTTTATATCGATGGAAAGGTAAGACATAGACCTACAACTTTCATATGAAGTCAAAGACTCAATTCTGCCGTTTTCAAGCCCAAATCTTAGCAACAACGAAGACGTCGGAAGTTGTCCTGCAGCTCAAGCACTATTCGGTTTTTGGCTCATATCTTGAGTTCTAGAAGTCCAAATGAGCTCTGGTTTTTTTTTATGGAAAGCTGAGACAATTGCCCACAACTTCCACAATTCAGTTGGCTATAATTCTGATGTGAGCAATGACGTTTTGGCCAACCAACAATATCAAAAATCAGCCCACAATATCAAAAAAACAGCAGCCATTAATGTCAAAAACCAGCCACCAAATTAATGGATGCCCACCAATTCTTCAATCAATCAATAGTTCTGAAACTTAGCCTATAAAAGGAGGCATTGTCCATGTATTTAGTCATATTAATTTTCAGATCAAAGTTATTTTCTTGCTTTCTCTCTACATCTTTGTAATGTTCAAGTTTTCTTTCATGCTATAGTAATCTCTTATTTATGCTCTTTCATTTCCTTTCCTTTACTTAGTTAGCTTATATTATGTTTATGTTCTTATATTGTTTATTTATGTTTTTCTCCTTCTTAATGTTATGCTATAGTAATCTCTTGTTTATGCTCTTTCATTTCCTTTCCTATACTTAGTTAGCTTATATTATGTTTATGTTCTTATATTGTTTATTTGTGTTTTTCTCCTTCTTAATGTTTAGCTAAGTTAATTATGTCAAGGTGAAAAGGTTTCTCTAATGGTGTTAGAATAGGTATAATATAAATTCAACATGAGCTTTAAATGTTTATATCCAAGAAAGATTGTTATTAACATGTTTTATCTTTTTATCTTACTAATTCTTAATACCTTGCTTATTAAATGGTTAATTTAGATTTGTGTTGTATAATATTTGGTACATCAAATGCTTGATCCTTCATAGTTTTCGGCCGACATCGTTATTATGATAGGAACTTGAATTGTTGTTAACATAAACTAGCAACATGAATACTTGATGATATTTATAAGTATGGTATTACTTAGATAAGATAATTAAGATGATCATGTTAGTAATTTATAATGAGCTAATAACGAGAAATCATCCGATTAGGACCTCCTTTGTGTGTGGTTTCTAGTTGAGTAATAAAAAGAGTTTATATTATATTTATTTGAAATACCATTAGTGAATCCTATAACCTTGACATATGTTTTGTTATTGTTTAATCCTTACATCAATATCACATCCCAAAACTTTCTTCAACTCCTTTTCTGTTATTATTCTCTTCAAATCTTTTTCTTTATTTGTAATTTATATAATTCACCTCCCTGTGGTTCGACTCCGGTCTTGCCGGGTTATTTTACTTTGACACTCCTGCACTTGGGATAAGACATCAACTCTTTGATCGTGTCAGTAGCACCAATTATCAAAGGGGGCATATTTAATTAGAATCAATGACTATAAAATGAATTAGAAAAGGAACATATAAGTAACATTCTCTATGCATTTATAGTTAAGAGTTTAGTGTATGCATAAATTTATACAAAACCTAACTTGGTATTTATAATAGGAATGTTGGGAAGGTTTCAAAATAATCTAGGAAAGAACCATTGAAAAACTACTAAGAAAGTCATTAGATACCAATAAGGAACCAAGAATTACCAGTTGACTTATGGACATACTAATCACCTTAAGGTAATTGGTTATTCAAAATCGGATTTTGTTGACTATACAAACACAAAAAAGTTTACTTTAATTACATATTTTTTCTTGTTGAATGAGTTATGTCTTGGAGAAGTATTAAACAAACTATTATTGATTTGTCTACTATAAAAGCATAGCTCATTGCATGCTATAAAATAAAAACACTAGCTAAGAAATTTTAATTTTAATTTTAAAGTTTTTGATTTCATATCAAGACTAATAAAGATATATTATGATAATTTAGCTGCAGTTTTTTATTGTAAGAATAATAAGAGTAGAAGTTAAAACATACATGCCACAAAAAAAAATCTTATTATAAAAGAGAAAGTGAAGTAACATAAAGTATTTATTGAACATATTAGCACTGAGCTAATGTTTGTGAATTTTATGACTAAAGCATTGCTAGCAAAATAATATAAAGATCATATGGATTACATGGGTCTAGCTAAGCCATGTGATATTTGAATTTATTGTATTTTCTAGCCATTTTTCTTTATATTATTCTTAGAGATTGAAGTGGTGTTTTGTGCAAATAAAGTATTGTTTATCTGTGCGCGCGTGTATATATTAGGATATATAAAGTTGGATGTAAAATACTTATTGAAAATTTATTCATAAAGTTTATTTGTTTATTAAATATTTATTTTAAAAATGTAATGTATTATAATACATGAAAGGAAATACTTGATTATAAAATGTGACCACTAAATTTATATATTAAATTCTTAATTTAAATATGAATGTTCACATTCTGAATATTTTAAATTTTATAAAGATATTGTTAGTTTTTTTATAGTGTCATAAGAGCCAAGTAAAAAAAATATTAGAAAATATCCTTAAAATAACCTAAATAACATGTAGTTTTGTGATGAAATAATTAAGTGACGACTAAAACTTGAAGGCCATTGAATTTTGGTATTGATCCAACGCATCCATGATAGATAGAAGTATAAATATTAGATTATATATAAAAAGTCTCTGACCTAAGCAAAAAAATATTACAAAAAGTCTCTTGTTTCTATTCACGTAATAACCCTAAATTTTAATATAAATTAGATGTTTTATTATCGAGGATGCTAATTTATCTGGACTATTACTTTAATACATAATCAATTATAGCAATTTTTAGCATATTAAATTTATTTAATCTTACACTGACACAAATGATAATGTTAAGTCCAAGATTCAGGAGAAGGAAGGAATCCATCCAGATCAGCAGAGGCTAATCTTTGTAGGGAAGCAGCTAGACGATGGAAGGACCCTTGCTGATTATAATATTCAAAAGGACTCTACTCTTCATCTGGTGCTGCGTTTAAGAGGAGGGATGCAAATATTTGTCAAGACCCTAACAGGAAAGACAATTACCCTTGAGGTCGAGAGCTCTGATACAATAGACAACTTGAAAACCAAGATTCAAGATAAGGAAGGTATTCCACCTGATCAGCAGAGGTTTATCTTTGCTGGGGAGCAATTGGAGGATGGGAGCTCATGAGGATTATAATGTTCAGAAGGAGTCTATTGTCCATCTCGTGCTCCGTCCTCGTGGTGGTGATTTCTGAGTGTAATAATTGTCGTCTTCTTGTTTGGTTGCCCTTAGAAACTCGTTAGATTATGGTGATGTTAGTGTTTAAGTTGCTCTTTTGTTATTCTCTGTTCAATGCTCAGTTTCGAACAATAGGAAATTAAACTCCGACAAGTAATCATGTCTCTTCTGTCAATTTTCAGTTCGATGATTGCTGTGTTTTCTGGTCCCCCTATCTGGGGGTTTGAGTTTGGTGTCACCGCGTGATTCTATATTTTATAGATTTCTGACATGCCAAACTTGATTCTATGTACTTAAATTGTTTGCATTCTGTGCTTGGGAGGAGAAGGTAACTTGGAATCGATGTTGCATTTCACATAACGATTATGTTTTTCATCGTTCTCAAATGACAATCACATAAAAGAAAAAAAAATAGACTAATGGAGTTGCCTGCTACAGATTCAGCAACTGTGTTAACTAAATCACCCTAATAATTCCCAAACACGTTTTATTTTCTAGATCATCAAAGAAGAAATCTGCCATGGCAATATCACGCTGAAAATCGTTGGACTGTATAATTGGAGTGGGAATGGAGGTAAGTTCAAAGCTTCTCCGTGTCTTCTTCTACACCATGTTTTAAGTGTTTGTGAGAACCTAAAATATTGAGGCAGTCCGTCTCCAGCGACCGGTTTCAAATTAAGACCTTAGTGATGCTTGTATTCCACCGGACTCGCCTCTGTAGTCATGCAGTGGATGAACAGGGGATATGGTATGCGATGGGGTGCCTGGTGCACTCGTTGCTGGTGTTACAGTGCCCGAGTGTCGATTCTGTTTAACGTGTTGTTTAGCAGTGTGGTGCCAATTTCTCAGGGCCTTGGCAAGTCGCTCATTGAAAATCGTTGGCCGCATGGTTGTACCCATCTGATTTAATGAAGTTAGATGGTAACTCTATAATTCAATAAAACAGAGACTAAAGATAGATAATATGAGAAAACAATGCGATGATGATAGAAGGCTGTGCATTGCAAGGCAGCAAGCATACCTGAGTTACCAACGCATACAAAGGAAGAGTCACATAGCTGCAAAAGAATTGAATTATTGCCCTGTTCTCAAATCAGAAAAAGCTTGTGTTATTTGCAAAATTCTGGATGGTTCGTCACAAGTGTGATTCAAAGCTGTTCTGATGAGGGAAAAGCTCACCACATTGTGATCCTCAAAATTAGATCTTCTGGATACTTGTGAAAGCAAGACTTCAACCCGAATTCATACTACAGAGTGAAGGAGAAGAAAGCCAAGAGTTGAATTTAGTTAGCGAAACCAGTTACCAGCAAAATAAACAGTGATAGAGCCAAAAAAACTTGCCCAAGTCCACGCTAAGAAAGCAAACTGGAAAGCATTCTGCATTCACAAAAATGGGCGGACAACAAAGAAAAAGTTAAGAAGAAATGGTTTCAATGTAAGGTTGATCACGAAGCATTGTAAATCGAAATGCACAGAGATACCTGAAAGAGAACGAAATTTATAAGATAAAGAAGCAGGCGTGGATGGTTGAACCAAAAGAGATCGTCCCCTGGTTGGACCACTGGGGTACCCTGCACCACCTGTGTGCCTTGAATCCTCAGACCCATCTGGGTTATAACAACCTGTAGCTTTGTACTCACCGATAAGATAACCTGTAATATAAAGAGTCCACATCAAGCTCGTGGATTTTCCAGTTTTGTAGAGTCAATAATAGAATGACTAACTGGAATCAAATTTTCTGCTTACAATCAGCGGGATGAAAGGGAGCCATAGATAAGAATACCAGCCTGTCCATAACAAACGTTGTTTCAGTTTGGCTTGTGAAAACTTTTAGTTATATATTCGTGATAATGGCAATATGTAAAGAAAATTTGTTTTCTAATGGAAAAACACCATGGAAACTGTTCAACTTCTTCATGCTACAAGAGAGCGCATTGCTAAAATCTTTGAGTCCACAAATGCATGATGTTCAAGAGAAATACTGATTTCAGCTCACCATATGTATTAAACAGTAGGAAAAGAATTGCAAAGAACCAGATGGTTGGGCTGCGAGCACGAAAAAGGAAGGTCATTTTCTTGAATTCTCTTTTACTCTTATCATTTTCAGGAAAGCTAATAATCAATGTAGTGAGTAGGTAACCTGATTCCAACCACAACTTTGAAATCCTCCTCAAGTGATCTTTTGATGTATGTCTGGAAATCGAACTTAATTTGACTCCGAGGTGCCAAATGTGCCTAGAGAGCAATTGCAAAACATAGCTACTAAGTATTCAATGGAATCAGTTTTGCATTGATGGGCATCTGATATTAAAATTTACTTACAGTGATAAAGCCATGGCGTAGGGTCAGGTAATCCACCTTTGGAACTGATCTGAGAAATTGTCTGAAGAAACAGACCTGGACAAATGGAAACTTGCTTCAATGGGTTGCAATTGATTATTATCAAGGAGAGCTAGCCAATTGGAATTGGAAGAAGAAAAAACCCAAGAGGGTAAATTTTCTCCCTTACTATCCACAGGAGAATTGGTGAAAGAGTCCAGAAGTTCAGATGCCTCCTTCCAAATGATGTCTCCCTTGCAAACCTAAACCTCTCCGGGTCTGCAGGATGCATTGAATAATAAATCTGTCATCGTTTCAGAAATTATATAGTTAACTTTTATTTTTATAGTTTAATCCTTTTCGTCCAGCTTTTTTTTAATAAATAGAAAATGTTGGAAAAGAAGTCGATATAATGTATAATTTGTATGGTGGTCAAGAAATTCTCAACGGATTTTCTCCCATGTTCACCATTAATGTGACCATGCCATTTTGAAATCGAAGGAGAATATCAATCATCTTCCTTAACGCTAGAGATTTGCTGGAGGCCCGAAGGTGGCATTTCAGCATGTAATTGTATGATACCCACCATGTGAGAACTGGTAGTTAGATGTTGTCGTCTCTATTTCCCATTTCTTCCATTTCCTCATCTGCAATCCAACAACAGCATACGAAACAACTAAATCCTTGCTCTAAATAACAATCGCACAAGAAAAAGAGAAGGAAAAAGAAACTGACTCTACATGCCTTTGCTCTGCTTAAGGTCAGAGTGATGATGCAACAAAGTACGTGGAAAGCCGCTAGCACAAAGATGAATATGTGAAGTTGCGTGATGCCGTCAGCTGAAACAAGAGAAACTTTACCCTGCAAAGATGAAGAGGTGCCATGGATTAACACCTTACTTTGCTAAAACTTATCACCAGATCGAGTTATTTTGTTCGTTTTTCTCTTGTATGTGCCCGCCGTGTTGCTTTTTTCATGAATAACTCTTGAGGTTTTCTTGGCTTCAGGAGCAATTTATTTACAAGTTCTTAGCGCACCAAATTAACCATGAAAATTAAAGTCCGCGCCACCACGATCACAGACAATTACTTAAAAGAATCTAGGCAACATGCCTTCTTAGCACACTTGTCAGATCCCCCATTTTCATCCTCTGACGGATCCTTCTCTTGCTTCTTACACGGATGCCAGGTAGCCCCTACAGACTTTGGTACACATATTTCTGAAATAGGTCCTTGTCCTATTGTTAGAAGCAATGACATGAATCCCAATAACATAAGCTCTGAGAAAGGTATACACAAAAGCTGATTCAGTTCCTTGGAAACCAAAAACACAATTCTAATATGCAACATATGCCTAATTTACGAGATTTCAGACCTGATTTGATCTTTTCAAGTGCCTCATAAAGAGCTCGTTTGCGTCTCTTTGTCAGCCACTGCATGCAAAGAACAAAATGTGTGCGTGTGTATCGTTTGAGATATATTCTTAACAAAGAAATTCAAACTATAGCCATTAGGTAGCTAACTTCAAGTCTTACCTTTCCAATTAAATGAATGATGTGTTCGATAATGATTGAAATCAATACCATCACAAAACAAACAACAGCAACCGCCCATGTTGGAGTTTCCTCCAGAGATCGAGCTTTTACAGCCTCCACCATCTAGTGCCAGCTTTCCAAGATTTTTATTTCCACTGCAACTCACTATGTCACAGAACTTTATGCACAGAAGATTAGTCTCTCTCTCTCTCTTACTCTCTCTTATTCGTCTAAAGAAATTATAAGGTCCATTATTTATAGACGTGTTTATAAATGAAGAAAAAGGGTACGTCCAATGCCATTGAATGTGAACACTATATGATGAGGAAAGAG